ACTTTCGATTCTAACTTTGTAAGTTAGCTAGAGTAACGCAACGCATACACGCAAACACATACGGAAAAGGTACACAAAAAAAGGTATACAGAAAAATGCGGAAGAAAGCTGATTAGCTGTTCAATTCACGCATTCTCTGTTCCGCACGTCGATTTCCGTATCATGAGATTGCACCCTTCCTTCATCGGGATGCACTAAGTTAATGGAGCTGTTTTTCCGACATGTCATTTTCTTACATGGGGCAGACTTAAGCGGGGAGCACACACTGCATAGATGCATAAGCGTAAACATGAGAATCTTGATTGGTCTATAAACGTATGCATAAGAAATTCAACCAATCGAATTTCTTATGCATATGCTTATGAGCATATGCAAGAGTGTGTGCTTCCCGTTTTATGCGCATCAACTTCTGCGCAGCAGGTGCTTTCCATTTATCGTATTAGCGCTGCTGACTTGAGCTAACTCAAGTAGACACAAGTCGTCATAAGCGCATAAGCATATGCATAAGAAATTCGATTAGTTGAATTTTTTATGCATACGGTTATAGACCATTCAAGATTCTTATGCTTACGTTTATGCGTCTATGCAAAAGTGTGTGCTTCCCGCTTAAGAATCTTGATTGTTCTATGAACGTATGTATAAGAAATTCAACCAATCGAATTTCTTATGCATATGCTTATGCGCTTATGCAAGAGTGTGTGCTCCCCGCTTAAGCAGTAAGCAGTACGAAATGGGATTCGCTCATTTCGTCGGGAGTAACGGAATGAATAAATCCCATTTCGTACTACTTACTGCTTACTCTTGTACTCTGTACTCCTGCTGCCATAGGGTGCTTTTCAGCAAGAAAGACACAGATAGACACTGTGTAACACTAGTGTAACACAATTGAGCACAAAGCGACTTATAGCGTTTTCGAGTGAAGCAAGTTTGAGCGATCCGGGATCGATTAATGACGTCATTAACCAATCACAGCCATTTCTCTGAAGAATAAATAGCTGTGATTAGTCAATGACGTCATTAATCGACCCCGGATCGCTCAAATCTGCTTCACTCGAAAACACTATTATATATATTAGCTAAAGAGCTGAGTAAGGTTGTGTTATATTGTGTAATAGTAGAAAAGCACTTGTGTCGCACACAGTGAGTACGTTTACACGGCACTGTTAATCGAGTTTAATAACATTTGTAGTTGTAAGACTGGCCAATCACAGCCGTTCCATTCTTCAGGGGAATGACTGTAATTGGCCAGTTTTACAACTATGGATGTTATTAAATCCGATTAAGGGTGCTGTGTAAACGTACTTAGTGTGACTTTAGGTCTGTTCTTTTCAGCTGAATTGGCTACACTAGTTCAGAGGTTATCTTTTTTCTTCTAATGTCGAGCAAAAAAGACAACCTCTGAACTAGTGTAGCCAGTTCAGCCGAAAAGAACAGACCTTTTGTGTCGCCTGTGTTGTTTGCTGAAAAGCACCCATTGTAGCCTCCGCTTTAAATACGCTAAGTGCGAATGCGGATATAAAGCGGGGAGCACATATTTTTGCATAAGCGCATAAGTATATGTATAAGAAATTCGATTGGTTGAATTTCTTATGCATACGTTTATAGATCAATCAAGATTCTTAAGCGAGGAGTACACACTCTTGCATAAGCGCATACGCATATGAAATTCAATTGGTTGAATTTCTTATGCATACGTTTATAAACCAATTAAGATTCTCATGTTTACGCTTATGTGCCTACACAAAAGTGTGTGCTCCGCGCTTAACACACAAGATTTAAACCATATTGGGTGCTGTTCGGCAAGGAAGACACAGATAGACACTGTGTAATACTGGTGTAATACAATTGAGCACAAAGCGACTTAGCTAAAAAGCTGAGTAAGATTGTGTTATATTGTGTGATAGTAGAAAAGCACTTGTGTTGCACACAGTGTGACTTTGTGTCGCCTGTGTTGCTTGCTGAAAAGCACCCATAGTATGGCAATATCCGAGGTTTGACGCTCAAAGAAAAGAAAACTGGTTAAAAAACTGGAAAACTACAAGCTATACCTGCCCTTAGATATTAAATTACTGCTCAGAAGGCCAATATAGTGACCACCACACATGTATATCACTTCCTTAGAAAATGTAATTTACATCCCTGCCAACATTAGACGTGAAAGCGACGTTCTATATTGGTCACAAAGTCGCAAAAAAATATGATACCTCTTTTGCACGTTGCCGCGACGTAACGTATATAAAAGAATTTAATTAATTGATATGTGGGATTGTTTAGTTTTGTAGTTGGTATTTTTAAAAATAAATTAAAATAAGGATATATATATATATATATATATATATATATTCTTACTATAAGATATCTTATTTTTAAAAATTAAATTTAACACGAAATTGTTATGTCGCAACGACATTACAACATTTCAGTTATATTGTAGCAATATTATATCCACACAGCACAAAACTCAACAGAAATGTTGCAGAAACATTTCAAATTTCAAAAAGATTTCAAGTAACACTGAAACGTCATTATAACATCTAAGAAACATAATATAGAAAACGTAACATTTGAAACGTTTATGCAATTTTTATCAACATATTTGTGATAAAATAGTGGACATTTACACGTATTTAAGACGTATATGAAACATTTTTGAATAAATTTTGTGAAGGTCTCTAAAATGTTTTGTGCTGTGTGGGTATATATTACAAGTTACAATGTAATATTGCAATATTCTCCATGGAGAAACATTATAAGAACATGTAACTGTAATATTTTATGAGAAATATTACAGTAACATTTTAAAAATATTATAAAAACAGTATTTGTTATTAATCATTAATTCCTTTATTTACCGCTATGCGGCGCGCGATGCGGTTCTTTCTCGTATTTGAAATTTGTTATGAGAATTATATAAGTAATACTTTAAACATCTTCAAAATGATCTAAAGATGTCTAAAACTCTAATATGGTTTTAAATATACAAAACGTTCAATATGTATATTTTTGAATACGTTTGTAAAACGTCATTGTGCTGTCTCGGGTAGTATTAAAATTAATCTTAACTTCTTAAAATCGATCATTCATTTTTAGGTCATGAATAGGTGCTTAACACGTCACATAAAGTCGCAAATAACACGTCACTACAACGTTTCTATCACCAAGAATTTGGCTGTTAGTTACGTGACGGTAACGTGACAATTATACGTTTCAAACACTAGTTGTGACGTCGTTGCAATGTAACGTGTGACGAGTTAGCACGTCATAATGACGTATTTGATACGTACCGGTGCTGGCAGGGATGTTTGAATGTAAGGATATATACTTCACTATTATCACTGAGTATCTCGTCAGTGGTATTATATAACTGCATATGTAAAATTAAGTTTAGCTGTATAGCTCTCTATTGAGAGCTTTTTGAGCTTAATATAAAAATATATATATAGAAACTTTTACTAAATTATTTAAAAAACTATAAAAGAATGTAATACCTTTTCAAATAAATTATGTATATTTAATACAATTTAATACAGGCGTTTTTTACATTGCTCAATAATTATATAAGTTTATAATATATAATAATAATATTATATCATAAAAGTATAGAATAAACTCTGTAGTTTTTGTAGTTCAAAAAATATATATTTATATATCAATTTTTTATTTATACATATATAGATGTATAATCATTATATATATTAAATTGTATTCGTGATAGGATTATCACAATCATGTCATGCAATTTTTGTTTACCATCGATGCTATTCAATAATTATATTCTAAAAGAAAAAGAAAAAGAAGTATACATTTAAGTACACAATATATAAAAAAAGATATACAGAAAAATGTTTTGATAGAAATTTGCTAGAATACAATAACTATATAGAAGTATGATCACGAGTCGATTGCAGAAATACAAAATAAAACAGTTAGTTTCTTAAGTAAATGAAAAAAATATGCATATATATGCTATATTTGAATCGAATTAAATGAATTTGATGCAATATCCATATCCATCAAAAACTCGCATAATATTGAATCCAATTAACAAATAAGAATATACCGGGTGTCCGGTGACTCACACGTTAATGGGAAATTCCTGAGGCGATGTGGAGACGATTTTTCCTCAACGAAAATATCGAGAAAAGTCATAATTTTTTTAATGTTCTTAATTTTTTAAATCATGTCTCTTTGTGTAACTAAGCCTTAAATTAAAAATTCTATTAAAATAAACTTTACCTGAAAGAAACTAAAAAATGTAGTTTTGTTAATAATTTATTTTTACAAAGTTTACAAAAAAGCTTTTATTTTCAATCGTTTATAATCGAAAATTATTGGTGCCTGGACATTTTCGCTGAGGAAAAATTGTCTCCAAATTACCTCAGAAATCTCCCATTAACGTGTGAAACGCGAGTCACCGGACACTGTATATATATTTAGGGAAAATAAAAATATTGTCAAACAGAAAAAACAGAACAAAAATGGAATATAATAATTCGCAAAAATAATGCAAAATAAAAAAGAGAAGAGAGTGTCAAATTTCTACTAATAAATCTTAGTATCTAATCATACTTTATATTTTGATCATACACATACAGAATTTTTTCAATAATTGCAAAAGTACGTATACAATTTTGTAGTAAGAAAAATATTTTTTTAGATTTATAAGAATAACGTCAAAAAAGGGGAGTAGTTAGAAAATTTCATAGAATAATAGCAATTCAATTATCAAAAATAAAAATATTAGCAGAACCAAATTATCTATATCTTTTAATTTTTCTCACAACAATTGCAATTTTCTATCAATTATATTTTTGTCATATGTATTAGAATTTTTATATTGACTGCAAGTATGTATACATAATATTGTATCAAGAAAATATTTTTAGATTAATAATTTAATAAAAAGAAAAGTCAAAAAGATTAAACATTCTCAAAAATGTTAGCAGTCCAATTATCGAAAAATAATAATATTAGTAATACTATAAATTTTCTATATTTAATATTGCTTGCAACAATAATTTGTTTTATCAATGAAAGTATTCATCTCACAACTTGTAAAGAAAATAAACTGATGCAAATAATGTGCATTAGGAAGATATTTTTAATATTTGTCGATTATCTAATATAAATAATAGATGTATATTATTCATCTGACAAAGTATCGAAATCTTTAATATATTATATGTATATACATACATATAGGAAGAAAATCCAAAAGAAAAAGAAAAATAAAAATTGAGATAAAGGTTATCTCAGTGTCTAAATCACAGTATTGTCATATCTATTTAACTTTTTGGACAGAGATTAAACCCAGCATAATTCTTTTCTGTCTTTTCTATCTGCATGGAAAATTAGATAGAATTTATCTAATTATTGTAAAAATACGATAGTCAGCAATATTTTCTGTGTATATAGATAGAGAGAATATACAGAGTGTTAATAAGATTTCTTTGTCCAAAAGAAAAGAGGGATTTTTAATCAATCTGATCCCCAAAATACTATATATTATTATAATAATGCCCTGAAATTTTTGTTAACACCTCCTGTATACATACACAAACATACACACGCATACACACATACACACGCACATATATTATATATATGTATATTTATTTTTCCTTAAAATTATATATTTACCGATTTCGTAAATGCAAGTGCTTATCAAATAAGCATTTATATATTTGACATGTTTGACTAGATTTATATTCTAGATATTATTTAAAAATTTTTTTCCTATCTCGTTTACTTCTTCCTTTTCATAGATAAATTGCTTGCGACGTTTAGGATTCTCGTCACGCTCAATTACCGTCTGATTGATCGCTTCTACGTATGCTGTGATTGGGCAATATGAAGAAAAAAAGAAAATTTATCGGTGCATGGATGACCGCACATATTGCACGTATAAGGGTTATCGAAGCCGTGACAATTCATATGCATGGTATACATGACAATGTCACCAAATGTGATCTCACAATAGTGACATATATGCTCGGTGCCGATCGAATCGGCCATAACTTTGCTATCCTTAATATTCTGATTTTCTCTGCATAAACCGGGTCTATTAATTATGGAAAACCTGGAGGATTCTACTTCTTTTTGTTCCGGTTTCGTGTTCTCTTCCGTCGCACGACGTTCCAATTTCATCGCTTTACCCTTCCGTTTATTGGTGCCGGTGGTTTTTGAATTTGTATCTAATAACTGAAATTGAAACTGATTTTTCCGACCTCGGCGATGCGGAGATCCAATGGTGCATCTGTAGACTCATCATCATTTTGTGACTTTAGTTGAGTTTTTAGCATCACAAATGTCGAGGATTCGCTGGTAGCCTTTACGTTGTTGAAAACATGAAGTTTATTAACGTTATTTGGGTCGAAATAAGTTATAGGCAGATTCTGAACACACTTTTCAGGCATTTTCATGATTTTCACGTATTCCATTAATGTATTAGCGTGATTAATTTCCTGCATAGTTTTGCAAAATGTTGGATCCTCGTGAAGCAGAAGATGGTAGACAAGTCAAAGTAGCGACTACATCACTATACGGGCACGTCATGACAGATTGATTCTGCTTTATACTATTTTGCATTATACAATTTGCATTATTTGTTTTATTAACCGCGGTCACTGTCAAGTAATGAGCGACTGGTGATTGAAGTGGTAATGAAACTAGGGAAGTTGATGAGGTTGGTGAGTTGGTTGGAGAAGGTGGTGAGTTGAGTTGGTTGTTGTTAGCCGTCATACTTTGACTCAACTCGTCCTGTTCTTCCAAGAATGACTTTTGCTTGGGTCCGCGTTTAGTACCATAGACATCGATGATGGACAAGGGATTAGGCGAGCCATCGGCGTTTAACACCATTGCTGGTTGATGCTCCTTCTTACGTAGGTGCTTCTTCAGCGCATTGCAAAATTTCGTCTTATACATTACAGTTTGCGCATCTGTAGGGATAGAAATTCGAGGTTTTTTTTAAATGACTAGTTAGCATCGATTTACTAGTGTATAGGAACATTTTTTGCATTTGAATGGCTGGAGCCGTCGTGAACACTGAGCCAGTGA